AAATCAATATTAGGCCGTCCTCTAGATCATTGGGCCGCATATAAATATCAAACCGGGCCCAGTTTAGTAATTTGGTCATAACTTCCTCATTATTCATCGGAATTGGGCTTATAATATATCGTTGGAAAGCTCTTTTTAAACCCCATCCAACTACACTTTTATTGGACCCTTGCTATGGACCAAACAAAATTGGATTGACTATTTTCTTAAAATAGGTTTTCAAAAACAGAGAGAAAGAAAAGAATTAAAAATTATCCGCAACACTAGACTTTCCACACTTTCACTTCATTCGATTATGATTCGACGTGAAAGGTACTCATCACTGGGTTTGGTTTTGGGGAGACACAAATGGGTGTCTACAGATTCAATAAATCCTTTTTAAATCCAATAGTTCCAATCTTTAAAATAATAATTCAAACTCTTTTTATTAAATTCAACATGCTTTCAATATCAAACCTCTTAAACATAAATAATACTTTTAATTAATCAAAACATGTTATAAAGATCAAAACTCCAATTTGATTTTCAAAACCAATTATTTAAACATACTTTTATTTCATAAATCATAATTCAGTTCAATTTAATTCAATCATCATAAGAAATCATTCAAACATGCTCATTCAAACCAATCTCTTTCAAGGTATCTAACCTCCTAACGTACCTTGATCCTTGCTTAGCAAAATCACACAAAAGGAACCTCAAGAATCTTGATCGAACACACCCTACAAATAAATATAACCTTAATTAATATAAGATTAACAAATAATCACAAAATAATTAAATTAAAAACCTCCCAACTATATGTACATGAACCTTTTAAATTAATTTATCATAACCATCATTAAAAATCTGATTTTATTAATTAAAACTACTCATAATATTTTTTTATAAATCCCCCATAATAATTATAATTAATTGAATAAGAGAAAAGAAGAAGAAAAAAATAAGAAACCAAGGAGAAGAGAAGGGAGGAGGTGGCGGTAAGGGTTTCCGGCAGCAGCAGGTGGTGCCAGGAGGTGGAGGGCGGCGGCCGAAGAGGCGGTGGTGCATGGTGGAGGTGGTGGTGCGCAAGGAGGAGCAAAGAAAAAGAAATAAGAATTTGAGAGAGAAATAAGAGAGAATTATGAGAATTTGAGTGAGGGTTTGATCATGAATTGAAGGGGTATTTATAGGCTAGTGTAAGCATGAATTATGGTAGGAAAATGTAGGAACAAATATGGTAAGTAGGGTTTAAGGGATTAGTTGGAGAAGTGAGTAAAAGAATTAAGGAAGGTTTTGATATTAAGGTGATATTAAGTGAGGGTTAGGCAAGATAGCTTTATGTTTGATTCTTGTGTTTTTTCTCATGTTAGACGAGCATGTAATATGATTCCCATTGTATTGCTGGATGGGATACCGGTGAGTGTGATGAGTTAGTTTGTACTGGACCGTTTCCTCAAAGTATTACTACTTAAGCGGACATTGATTTAACTTAATAAAATGCTCATACTACCTTTTCTTTAAAAAAAAGTATGGAAGGTATGTTTGTCATGAAAAATAATAAGGAAATTGGAATTACTTGGGGAATAATTAAGAAGAATAAAAGGCAAGAGAATTTGATGATCAAATATTAAAAAGATGGAGAAATAGAATTAAGGAAAATAAGATATTTTGGAAGATAATTATAAATACAATTTTACCAAAATAAATTCCCCTAAAATAATAAGAGAGGGCTGAAAATATTGAGCTTCCCATAGCTCAGATTTTCGGATTTCTCTAGGATTATGTAGGAAGATTTTGCTCGGTTTTAAGGAATAAAATAATTGTATAAATAATATAGAATAAATAATTAATTAATTAATTACCAATTATTCACCAATAAATAACCAAGAAAAAAAAAATCAGATTTTCCATACATGGAAAATCCAAAATCCCTAGCTATATATTGGGAATTTTTATATTATTTTGCTTTAATTAAAATATCCGAAATATGTAAATAATTTGATTTTTAAAATAAGATAAATGGATAATAAATCTTAGGAAAATTTGCAAATTGCAACCATTTAAAGTTCATATTTTGCAAATTGCAGCCATTTAAATTTTTTTTCTTTGCAAATTGCAGCCTAAAAGTTCGTATAAATTGTAAATTGCAGCCCAATTCAACTTTTACATCGATTTACATGTCGAAAAATCTTCGATTAAGGTTTTAGGGGCCATTTTAGCCCTTAAGGGTCCGAATTGAGCTCAAAATTAGCAAAAAAATAACGTAAGTGCCTCGTTTTGCGTAACAAAAATATATCGATTTCATGTTCTTGGCTATTTCAGACTTTTTACTAGCTACAACGAGTTTGTTATTTTTACCACTCTTATGCTATGAATCTTATTTTTTTTTGGTATTCCACCCGGTTCACCCTTTGGGCTAATCTGGATTTAGGGATCAGTTCTAATTGGTTAGGTTTCAGTCACCTCCCAATTGTTGTTGTGAGGGATCGAACACGAGTTATCAATACCAACAACCAATTGGTAATATGTTGTGAATCTAAGTATCCAACAGTGTAAATGATGGCACTTAAATTGCCAAGTGCGTGAATTGCCTCTAATCTAATACAGTAGTGAATTGCCCCCTATGTGTCTTTGATGGACAAATTTCAATTATAATGAACTGGGTTGTGTAAAAAAAAAAAGTATAATATTGAGCAATAATATTGTCGATAGGGATAGAGAGTGGTCCATTAAAGGAGGAAAATAGTACATTTTAAGAACAATTGTGGTCATCAACATCTAGACGAGATATATAATTTCAGGAAAAAAAAAAAAAGTTCACCACGAAAATTAAATCCGAGAGGAAAATTTGTTGTATCATGGAAGAAAAAATGAACAGTAATTTTATTTTATTTTTTTTAAAAAAAAAGAAATATTCAAAAATTAAATGTAAGCATTGAAAATAACAAATATTTTGAATTTCAAATATTGTGGTATTAGAAATTTCATTTTGAAATTTCAAAATGGGTGGAATTTGGGCCCAGTTTGACAATGAATTAAAAAAAAGCCATGTCACGTTGTATGTAGGGCACTACAGCCTACATACAAGTGTTGTATGTGTAGGTGTAGCCTTTTGAGTGCATCTAGACGCATAGAGCTTATGTGTTTTACATGTACATAGGAGGGCAGTATGAGATTTTTATTGGATTTTTTCTCTCTTTTAATGGTATAGTGGTACATTAATTATACATATAGTGGTATTTTTTGTCATCAAATTTTTAATCATTGCTTTTTTCTCAAGTTTCCATTATTTACAAAAACATCCTATTTGTTTCATTGGCACATGGGCCCTATGCGTCAATACTTCTCCTATCCTTTCCCACAAAATACACGTTTTTTGTATGAATGCGTTGGCGTGATTGATAATGAAAGACCTTGTTTTATATAGCTAACACAATGTTTGGTTGGTGGCGACTTTCTTATTCTTTAATGTACCCATCAATCAATAAAAATTCAACCAAAAAAATTAAAACTATTATTATTATTATAGGAATAAGTGATCAACATTGATACTCAAGAACTCAACTAAACAAAAGAAAGGACAATAATTGAAAGCACATAAACGTGTATTTTAAATCGAGGAAGAAATGAAGGACAATGATATTTGTAGGGAGAGGGCTCTCAGAAATTACAAAATCAATTACATTGTATAGAGAAAAGAAAAAAAAAACTTTGTACGAAATAATGGATTCAGGCCTAATAAGTACTCCGTAATATCGTTCAAAAATAAAAAAAATGAAAAATATTCTCCGTAATACAGATAGGTTAACTAAGCATTTGTGAATACAATAATTTCGGGCATGTTCTGATTTATTGAGTTGAACTGAATTGAGCTGATATGGCTGAACTAATTGACGCTGAACTGAATTGAGTTGACTGATTGGAGCTAAACAGAACTGAAATATTTGACTATGGAGTAATGATATTTTGTTTATTTATTATTATAAATATAAATGTAATATATATAATAATAATAATAATAATAATAATAATAATAATAATAATAATAATAATAATAAACTATATAAGTAAGGCTAACCATATTTAGATTTTTTAAATTTTTTAATATTGTATTAATATAATAATAATAATAATAATAATAATAATGTACAACTGAAATTTTTTATAATAATAATAATAATAATAATAATAAACTATATAAGTAAGGCTAGAATATTTAAAAAAAAAAGGATAAATAAATACGGCTAGAAAAATAATATTGTATTGACTGTGCTTCAACACCCCCTCCCCGCACCCCCAAATTATGAAACCCTCTTTTTGAACTGAACTAAATTGTCATTAACAATATCATTAGCTAAATGATATTAAATAAGCTGAAGAACTTAACTGAACTGATTAGAGCTGAACTGATCTAATCTGAACTGATTGGAGCTGAATTGAAGTGAAATTAAACTGAAGATAACAAATGCTCACACTTTGATCCATGAGCTCAACCCATAGGGTATTTAAATGGGTTTAGTTAATTATTTATCTTAGGTATAACCTGTCATAAGATCTTAGTCGATGTGTAAGTTATTTATTTATTTTAATATTTCTACTGCGCATAAGTAGAAATATCTCATTGTATTTTGCGTGACGTGTTGTACAACACCAAAATGTTAGTGTGCCGATTAAGCAAAATTATTTACTACGTTTATACAAATAATTAGATTAGTACTCATGCGTTGCACGGTGATGATAAGTAATTTTTTCTAATTTGTTTTATGAAATAAGTAATATATAAACTTTAATCATGACCATATATTTTTCATTTTGCAGGATTACAAATTTTCTTTCTCTTAATTTATTTATTCCATAATCAATAATGACACCATACATTTAATTGGCGGAATTTTTTTTAATGAGGAAGCGACACATAGGGTAGGGAGGTTTTGTTGTTTTAGTATTAGTAAATAGAAGTATCAGCTATGAGAAGCCACAAAACTAAACTCTTACTATTATAAATAAAAGGCAACAAATTTATTTGAGACGGTCCTTAAATTTTATTTTTATTTAGGAAATTGGGATTACACGCAATACATACTCAACATATTGTTGACTTATTTCACTTAATTAACACAATAAACATCATATGATCACACAACTTCTACTCATCATGAACAAATTCCATACACGATAAAGCCATAGCAAATCCTTTGAGTTTCACTGTTCAGCCTCATCATCGTCATTACCATTGTTGGCTTTAAGAAAACTAAGGAACTGGTTGAAATGTCTTTGTACTTTATTGATGAAAGGTCCTAGATATACTCCTTTGTTAGCGGTCTTAGTAGCGCCTTCGTACTTTAGAAGCCCCATGTCTTTAGCAATTTGATCGACTCTTGTCACTGGCCAAGGCTCATTGTTAGGACCCCTTAAATCTAGCTGCGGCTTGATTTCACCTCCCTTAGAATTCTTAATTCCTACAGTGATCTTCTGCCAACTCTTTTCAAGTTCGATCATTTTGAAGTCGGGTTTATAACATTCATTAATATCTTGCTCAAATTTTTGCACAATCATGTTCTCAATGTATGCAAATCGTGTTGCCTCCGAAACCATTTGCATAACAACTAGCATAAATTTAGCTTGATTCTTATCATCAACGGGTTTCCCATAAACTTTGTTAAAGAATATGTTTAGTGGCTGTTTTCCTAATCCCAATTTGTTTCTAGAGCCTGCCTTACTCTCAATCGATGCATAATCACTTTTATAATTCATAATTAGACGATTAGCTTTACCTTTCGCCTCTGGAAAGAGATTATCTTTAACATTGTTGGGAAGATCCTTAAAAATATGTGATCGAAAGTTTCCATTAATTTTGTCAAGATAAGCAATCACATATAAACTAAAACCTTTATTTAAATTCACAGCAAGTGTGATTGTCCTTTTCTGTGATGCCGTTAAATCGACGTAAAGATAATTATCTGAAGGTGCAGCCATTACTGGTAAATCTTTGAGGCCGCCATATACAATGTTTTTATCCTTCACTTTGTTACGCACATCATTCAACAATTGTGAGTAGGTAGCTGTTGTAGCACCTTCGACGTCGAAGCTTATCCTTATATCTGATGCTGCGAGAGTTGGTTCAAGCACCATCCATACTGCTATAGCTACCACAACACAAGCGCCCATGACTTTAATTCCCACCATTCTACCTACTGTCTTTTTCTCCTGTCAAAATTAGATATACATATTTAATTTGTTAGAATATACTCCATCTGTTTTAGATTACTTGCATTATAAGAAAGAGATTTGAGGAGGTAAACGATTTAATAAATCAATATAACACTAACACCGATAGCATATAACTCTCATCTTCCATGTGTTTTTGTACAGTAAAGCGGCTTCAACTTAATTAATTACTATATTAATGTAATTACTAGCTATTTCCTATTTGTACATAATAAAGCGGCTTCAACTTAATTAATTATCAACACACAATACAAAATAAAATTAAGACTGCGAAATGAAAGTAATACAAAATAAAACTAAAATAATTTTTTTTTTTTAAAAATATTACTAGCAATATATTGTACATAATGAAGCGGCTTCAACTTGATAATTTAATAGTTAATGTAAGATGACTTACCAATGAAATTGCGAAAGGAAAGTAGCTTGAATATATTTGCAGATGAGTAAGAGAAAGTTGTACTGAACAAGCAATGAGCTGCAATGAGCGTTCAACTTATCCTCTCTTTAAATAGAAGTCATGAGAAAAGTTCATGCAAAGACATATTAGCCACCCAAAAAAAAAAAATTATATATTTTAGTAATTATATTCCATATACATATAAATTACTCCCTCCATTTCATGATAATCGCAACACTTTGACCAACATACATGCCAATGCACAACTTTGATCATTAATATCTATAATTTATATTATTACGAAGTATAAATATTTGATTTAATAATATATATATATATATATATATATTATATATATATATATATAAAGACTAATCCAAATATATTTTTACATAACAATATATGTTTTTTTTATATATATTGATAAAAACTATAGTAAAAGTAAGCATATAAATAGTGAAAAGTCAAAGTGTTGCGATTATTATAAACGGATGGAGTATATTTTAGCAATTATATTTCATATAGATTATATTTTAGCAATTTTATGAGATCAACTATACAATAAAGTAAGGGTCTGTTCTCATCAGATTATTTTCAGTTCAGTTCAGTTCATGTCTAATGATATTGCTAATATAAACTATAAAGCCAAAATTCATACTTTTAAGCTCTTACAACAACAACAACAACAACAACAACAACAACAACAACAACAACAACAACAACAACAACAACAACAACAACAACAACAACAACAACAACAACAACAACAATAATAATAATCATAATTTTGATACAATTCATTAATAATAATAATAATTTTGATACAATTCATTAATCAAATGGTTATATTTTTCTTAAATATTTTAATATGTATATTTGTATGTACACATATATATAATAATAAATAATCAAAGATCATTAATCCGTAGTTAAAAATCACTATTTAATAAGTTCAGTTCAAATTAGTTCAATTCAGTTAAGTTCAGTTTAATTCAATTTAGTTCAATTCAACTCTAATAAGGGCATGTTCACATTTACTTATTTAAGTTCATTTCAGTTCAGATTAGCTCCAATCAGTTCAGTTCAGTTCAGCCCCAATCAGTTCAGTCCAGCTCTTAATTTCCCCTCTCTCATAAAATATTCATTTCAGTTCAATTCAGTTCAGTTCACAGCTCCAATCAGTTCAGTTTAGCTACAATCAGTTCAATTCAGTTTAGTTCAGCTCAGTTCCGTAAATGTGAACAGGCCCTAAGTTCAGTTCAGTTTAACTCAACTCAGTTCACTCAATGAGAACAGACCATAACTGTGATTAATACAAGGTATAATGTTGATGTCTTCAATAAGTGTAACAGGTAATATTTGTCACGCATTTATAATTAAGGAAATTATATAGTACTTTCTCCGTTCTGTTAATATTGCAACAAGGAGGAAATTACGCATCACGAAACACATTTTATATGCTAAATATATATAATTGTATAAGAGTAAAAATTATAAAAAGTTGATATTGTGAAAGTATTATATGAGACGAATCCAATAAGATCTCACTTGACTATATTTTGCTTAACGTATAACTCATATTATATGGTCAAACAAGAGTGATAAATAGTGCAAAAAAGTTCAATGTTGCAATATTAATAGAACAGAGGAAGTACTATTTTATACTATGTAAGACGCCGCCAAAAAATAAAAATAAAAAAATAATATTCCGTAAGAAACTGCATGTTACCATACTATGGTACTAGGAATCGAGAAACGTGGTAGTCTTGTTAAACAATCAGATCTATTCTGAAAAAAAAAAGAGTAAACAATCGAAATCGTCCTATTTCGATTTACTGTAATAAGACTAGTTAGTAATGTTAGGTTTTCTTTTTAAATCAATTTAATTAGACATTGATACATACACAATAACACAAGTAAATGATAAAATTCACACGAATAATCACACTTTATAATATTTGTTCAGTGAAACGAAAAAGACTGATTATCATAGACTATAGGATAAAAAATTCACACTAGAGTATCTCCAAATGAAGGGAGTAATTGGTGATACATTTATTAATATTGATTAATACTCCGTAGTAAAACAATAGAAGAGAAATTACATTACCATGTAAAGCAATTAACCATTCAAGCATTTTTATATACCAAGGTCAAAGGTCATTTACATTATATTTACAGAAGACCATCATTAACAATTTTTTTGATATCAAAACACCATCAATCCACCAGGAAAATAGACTATATGAATCTAAATATCCAACAGTGTAAATGATGGCACTTAAATTGTCAGGTGCATGAATTGCCTCTAATCTAATACAGTAGTGAATTGCCCCCTATGTGTCTTTGTTGGACAAAGTTCATAATGAACTGGGTTGTGTAAAAAAAAAAAAATTGTATAATATTGAGCAATGTTGTCAATAGAGAAAGGGAGTGGTCCATTAAAGGAGGAAAATAGTACATTTTAAGAAAAATTGAAGTCATCTACATCTAGACGAGATATATAATTTCAAAAAAAAAAAAAAAAGTTCACCATGGAAAATAAATCCGTGAGGAAAATTTGTTGTTCCATGAAAGACAAAATGAATAATTATTTTTTTTTCTTAAAAAAAATAAATTCAGAAATTAAATGTAACTATGTAAGCAATGAAAATAACAAATATTTTGAATTTCAAATATTGTGGTATTAGAAATTTCATTTTGAAATTTCAAAATGGGTGGAATTTGGGCCCAATTTGACAATGAATTAAAAAAAAGTTATGTCACATTGTATGTACGACACTAGGGCCTACATACATACAAGTGTTGTATGTGTAGGTGTAGCCTTTTAAGGGCATCTAGGCGCATAGAGCTTATGTGTTTTACATGTATATAGGAGGGCAACATGAGATTTTTTTTTTCTCTCTCTTAATGGCACTTATACATGTAGTGTTACTTTTTGCCATCAAATTTTCCATCATTGCTTTTTCTCAAGAATCCATTATTCACGAAAATGTCATCTTATTTGTTTCATTGGCACATAGGCCCTGCAATACTTCTCCCAGCTAGCCTTTCCCACAAAACACACGTTTTTTGTATGAATGCATTGGTGTGATTTATGTTGAAAGACCTTGTTTTATATAGCTAGCACAATGTTTGGTTGGTGGTGACTTTCTTATTCTTTAATGTGCCCATCAATTAATAAATCTAGTAAAAAACTTATCTCATAATAAGGATAAATATTTGAAATGGCTATAAAAAAATTCAACCAAAAAAATTAAAATGTTGTGAAATAAAGAGAATAGAAGTGAAATTGGGAAGAGAATTGATCTATATATTTTTATTCCATATGATAAGGTATATATATACATAAAATATAATTAGGGTTTGGTTGGATAAGAATATAAACCCTAGATCTAGATTGTTCCGGAATGATACAAGGGAGGATAATGGATATCCACAAATATTTGATAACACTACCCCTTGGATGTCCATTATCGAAAACTGTGCCTCATTAAAACCTTTTTAGGAAAAACCCTGTGGGATAAAAACCCAATTAAAGGAAAAAAGTACAACATTCTTTGTAATACGCTCGAAATGCTGCCACGTTAAAACCTTACCAGGAAAACCCAATATGGGACAAAACCATGGTTAAGGGAAAAAGTGTGCAGCGCGTAATTTCTCATCTTGATGAATACATAACTTGAGGTCTTCTAATGCAATGAATCCAATGTAGTTGAGAGTCGCTCGTCTTCTCACATGACGCAGAATAGTCTCATTCATTGATTTTCAATCCTCCCAAATCTTCAAATCTTTACGCGAACAAGTGAGTCTTCATATCACCAAACCTATAACAATAATACATGTGCTTGTCCATCTTTCATTCGAAATCTCTGTTTAAAGTTGCCTTAACCATTATACTTATGCCTTCTTCTGGAGGCCGTGAATAATAGAAATTGATTATCATTATTATTTGATTAAACATTCCTTAATAATAATATGGCAACACATGATATTATGAATATTGATTTTTCAATCTTGTATGAAATAATAATACAGCACAGATAATTATATACATTGATCATGGTTCTTCTGGTCTTCTGGACCATGATAAAACAGTCTCATGCATAAGTATCTTGTTGAATTTTTAGAATATTTATAATTGACACAATAGTTCTCTTTCATAAACAAATAGTTTTTTTTCATTACTAACACTTATATGCTCAAACTTCAGGTTGAGATGTCAATGATTTAGTCACATAGACTTAAAGTTTAATAATAATTACAATATTCAAAATATAAATTTTGTAGGGCTGGATATATAAATGCGTCGTTCATAAGTTCTTTAGGAACTCTTCTTCTTACATGATTCATAACATGCAACTAAATTGCATCATCAATAATTTCATCACAATTATAAGCCCATGGAATATATTGTCTCTTTCTCATTTTCCATCAAAGTTGTAAATATATCTTACTATACTTTGAATGAACATTGACATACACCACGATTATTGTATAGAAAGTAATGCATGCAATATGAGATATAGAAAATATGATAACATATTAAACAAATAATACAATAAGAAATGTATCTAACAACTTCGAACATATGCAATAAATAATCCAGTAACCTATTACTCACACTATCACACATGCATATGAACATACATAGGACTCGAAATAATGCAAGACATTGTACAGTGTGGATTTTAAAAATCCATATTTCATTGGACTTCTAATCCATGATAAACTTTAATTATTATCATTATGTCGACATTAAAATGGACATATATTCCAGATCCCTTATTCACTAGTCCATTATATCATGCATATGCATAATTTATCGGTTCCATCATATACCGGTATATCATCATATATTCCTCGAGGTACAATTTTAATTTGCATGCTATTTTGACAATGATATCTGAATACATTTTTCATTGGTACCATCATAATATTTCTTACATCATAGACCATCTATTGTAATAATTCAGATATCTACACAACTTTAAGGGTATTTCATACACCGGGTATTAATATACTATTACACTATTAAAAGTGTCAAATGCATTGTCTTGCCATATATCACATTTTTATTTTGGAACAGATTATACAATCTATACTTCAGGTGTAGTGATTCAAGTAAATACAATTGGCAAGCTTTATCTCAATGTGCAACATTTCTTGATAACATATGGATGAAAGTTG